GGTATGTATGTGGTCTATGGTACTGAAGCCTTTTCGGAAATCGGCTTGTTCGGGAGGCTGGAATTCGTCGAGTCTGCGTGCGAGACGATTCGTAATGACTCTCGAAAACAGCACGTAGACGCGGCTCAGAAGGGAAATCGGTCTGTAGTTCTTCAAGAGAGCGTTGTCGCCTTTCTTAAAGAACAAGACCACCGCACTTCTGCTCCACGCCTCCGGAGTAGTGCCACCATGGAGGACGGAATTGAAGAGCTTCTGAAGGACTTCAAGTACCGGTGTTCCACCCGCTTTCAGAAGCTCCGCTGTAATTCCATCCTCGCCTGGGGCCCTGCCGTTTTTAAGGTGCTGGAGAGCCATTCTAATCTCGCTCAGACTGACGTCCGGATATCATCGGAATAGTGTTGGGTAAGACTTGCTCTTGTATCGTTACTCACACTTGCGTGTGGCTCCAACGATGATGTGTACAGCTGCCCATAGAACCTCTCAATCTCACTCAAAATCTCAGGTGTCCCTGAACGATGCTGCCACACTCAGTCTTCAGCTTTGACAGTTGGCTCTTTCTGGCAGACAGATCTCTGGCAAAGACTTTGGAGCCCTGGTTCCGCTCGATCGCTTCTTTAATACGAGCAGTATTAAAGTTGCGTAAGTCTTGCGGCATGCATTTGGAGATCTGTCTGTTCAGTTGCCTGTATGCTGTCAAATCTGTTGACGATTGCAGCCTCATCTCCCGTCTAACAGCCATGAGATTAAGAGTGTGATCGGAGAGTTTTTGTGTTCTTCTACGGCGGGTCTTGCAGAGCTTAGCTCCGACCGCGCATGGACAGTTTCCACGAGCTTGTCATTCATATCGTCCACTGCATTGCAATCTTCTAGGCACTGAAAGCGGTTACGTAACTGGAGCTGAAAAGTCTCGGGATTCTGGATTAGAGCACGAGGGGGGACGGAGCGTTGACTTCATTAGACGAGACCTCTCGAACTTAACGTTTAGGTTCAGTGTGCCTCTAGCCATTCGGTGATCGCTGCCGGTTTTCACCCTTGCGATCACTGAGACATCACTGAACAGTTGGCGTCTGGTCGTCATAATGAAGTCAATCTCATTTTTTGTCAAACCGTCGGGGCTTGACCAGGTCCACTTCCTGTGGGGCCGCTTCTGGAAGAAAGAGTTCATCATAAAGAGTCCCTCTTTCTCCATAAAGTCAGCCAGCTGCTGGACCCTACGGTTCCGTTGCCCTACTCCAAATTTCCCTAACTTCAGCTCATCGCCTTCTCTTGTGCCTAGTTTTGCGTTGAAGTCTCCCATCAACACCGTGTAGTGGGTTTTGGAGGAATGCATGGCTCTAGAAATATCCTCATACATTTCCTCCACCTCCTGATCGGGATGTCCCATAGTTGGTGCGTAGACCTGTATGACCTTCAGCGAATACCGTTTGGTGATTCTGAGTATCAGGTACGCGACCCTCAACGACAAACTCCCAATCTTTACAACGTTGTTGACGAGAGACTTGTGGACGATAAATCCGACACCTCCTTGGGACAGATGGTTGCCCTCCCGGTGATGGAACAAGTAGCCGGACTCGAGGATTACCGTGTCCTCCCCCTCTCTTCGGACCTCAGATAATCCAATAATATGCCAGCGCAACTTGTCTACCTCTTCTTCCAGCTCCAGTATCTTCTCGTCAGTCCTCAGGGTGCGTGCGTTATACGTTGCCAGGTCGAGTCATCGTAGGTGGCAACCGAACCTCCACCGGAGATTCTTAGCACCCCCTCCCCCGCCGTTATCATATCGTAGCCAGGAATAGCGGGGCCGCCGGGGACTGGGGGCCGTTTATTTGTGTCGTTGCTCATGGGGGGATATTTGCCATAGTTGCCACGCTTGGCGAGCGGGTTGGCAACCGCAGTTTTTTATTATGTTATTGTTGTTATTAGGAAGATGCTGCTGCCCATCTCCTGCCTGTCTCCCTCTGTCGCCTCTTACGACACCCACGTGAAGATATGGGGTAGTGGATATTCTCAACCGCCACTACACGGCTAGTAGTGGATACGCACAATCTTTTTTCTTGTTGTGGGTAATAAGAAAAGTGGGCGTACAATTACATATCGTTATTGGAAGGAAGTCTATAGCAATTACACATTGTTCATAATTTAGATGGTATTTTTATGTTAATGGTTATATTTTAAATAATTGATAAAATCAAATTAATTAAAAAAATAACTTTAGCTTTTTAAATAAGTTATTGGTATTTAAAATCGAGAAAAATCTTTATTTTTTCTCGATTTTATTGCTTCTTAGCCAACTTCTTAATGGGCGATTGGGAGAAAATGCCGTTTGTCATTTGTACTACCGAAATTTGTCATACGTACTCCTGTGTGTATTAAAGTATAAACAAATAATATGCATGTACTAGGAATGATTCACGACAGTAGTCAAATGGCGGATTCGAAAGCACGACTTTTGAGTTTGGCGGTCCTTATGTCTACTGGCTACCGACGCTGTACATTGCACTAACGATGTGAGGATGCCTCTTGAGAATCTTTCTTCTCCATTAGTAGTTAGTTTTCCGTAATTCCAGTAATGTCTGTGAATTTTATATACGGAAATTTATAACTACACATTGTTGGATTATGTTAAAAGAAAGACTATTACAAAAAGTAAACAATTTATATTATCACAGCAACACATTCATAAGTTGGTATAGTACTCGTATCTATGGCTTCTTTCCTGTGTTAGAGTAATTACTTGGTAATTACACACGTACGTATGCATAGAACGAACCTATAAATCTACATAAATTGAGTAATATACTTGTCTCGCTTTTTCTAATTTTATTTTCAAATAAGGCAAAAAGAGACAAATCTATTGAAAGATGTTGCATGTAATTCAAGCGTGGAAATAGAAATGTCATGTGGTCATCTTTGGTATCTTTATACTATGACAAATATGAGAGTCAGTACAATCGTATCTTCTGAATTACTAGAAAAATAACATCCTTATTGTAGTAGTATTATACGTGACGTTACTTACTGGACATAGTGTATTTAATCTATAGTGATTTCGTTCGCTATGTTAGCAACAATCGACATCGATATACCTGTTTTTGTTTAGTTATATGTCTAAAAATATAACGAAAATAGACCTAATATTACTCGTACGATCAAGTAAATTTGTGAATAATGATGATTATTATGTAACATTGAAAATATTCGTTTCGCAAACTTTAAAAACTAATAGGGAGGTATGAATACTAAGTCTTGACAGACAACTCGCTTATGTACGTGTGTAGTTAGTTAGTGAGTTGGAGATTCCACCTTCGCACGACTATTTTCTAGATCTCGACAACAGCTCTATTTACCGGGTTCAATTGTGTGAGTGTTCACCGACATCGATCCAGCCGTTTTCAAGTAATGATCTTTTATACATGCGGCAATTGATTTTAATATACTCGTATAGAGTTACCAATTGCTTAGCGGAAAAGCATCGACTATATACTATAATGCTTTATCTGCTTGGATGAAAATATTTCAAAATCATGAAGTTAAGGCAGGATCTTGATGATTCCGTGTAGCGGCGGCGTGAAAAAAATATATAAATATTATTACTTAGAAGCTCTAAGACCCCATACCATCCCCTAAGTATCATAAAAGACGACATACGGAAATAAAACAGGAGACAGGCAACAGTATCCTCTTGATAATAACTCAAAATAATGAAAAATTGCGGTTGCCAAACCACTTGCTAAGAGAGGGAACTAAGACAAATATTCTCCCTAGTAGGAGGCTTTTAATAGGCCGTAATTAATGAATTAATAATGGATAATATCTTGAGGCAGCAGTAAGGAAAACAGGTAATACGTGTAATGATGTATGGTAGTTAGTAGTAGAGTTCCGTTATGCAAACCCAATATCGATTAAACAAACACAGTTATTTAATCGACACTGGATTTGCTTTCTTACCTCTGTGCAACCCGTAATAAGTCTAAAAATAATTTGGCGAAAATATTCCGGTTGATTCTAATTAGATTTCATAGTGACCTTTTCACGATACATTTTGAATTGTACAACGATAGTACGAAATTCCGCATTCTTCGACTACGTTCTTTTTGTAAGATATCAGATGAAACTTCCGTAAATTTTTGTTGATATTAATAAGTATTACGAACCGGACTAATAAGAATCCCAAAATTTAATAAGTCATAGACATAGATTTTACCGTGACAAAATCCATAAAAGTAGTTTTATTCAATGTCTAGTGTTCGCGTAAATATAAGGAATCATTCCGTAAAAGTAGTTTTAATCAATGTGTAGTATTCGCATAAATATAAGAAATCAGTAAGTCATAGACTAAATGAATTTATCGACAACCTTTATCTATAGAATGGTAAAACGGCAATTACCTTGTAAAAGAAAAAAGGTGAGAATAATATAGCTATATGATAATAATATAGTTATCTTATTTTGTATTATGTTAAACGTCGTATGTGTTAAGACTTCAGCAATAAGAATTTACTTCTCTAGTTTAGAACTCTCTCTATGCTAGTAATTACTATGAGTTTCTTGTTAAAAAGTCCTTCCGTCTTCATTATCATAGGCTTCCCACATAAATTGCCTTCTAATGGAGATATTTGCTTTAGGTGCCTCGCTTTTCATGCGGGTTAAGCTCACTATAAGTTATTAAGGAGCATCCATAAAAAAGCCAACTCCTTTCAAAAGGTCGACAATATTTACCATATTTATTTCTTCTAACTTTTGTTGAGTCAGCCGGCATGTTCGTTCTGCACCTCTTCTATAAAAAAAAAACTATTGAAGCGTATATTATCCACGTATTTTTCATTATCTGTATGCTGAAAATTCTTTTCTTCGTAATGCTTGTCAAAATGTCAAATTTTTTGCCTTAAACATGTTATAACTTTTATTTTTATTATTTGAACCAAATCTTTTAACGCTGGCCTTATACCGTCTTAAACTTAAACAAAAACATTGAAATCTGGTACTGAAAAAAATTTAAAATGTGTGAATCCGTCTCGCAAAAATCTATCCCAATAACTACAACAAGTCAAGCAATCTTTGATAATGACTTCCTTGCTTTGAAACAACGGTTTATCAGTGAGATGCAGAGGATGGATCAAGAGATAACTAGATTTAGGTAGATTAGTTGACAATTATAAGCGACCTAAAATATTTAATGAGGTTTACAATTCATAGTAGTACTTAGTCTTTATTTTTTTGTAATGCCTTTGGTAAAAGCTCAAAATAAGAATAAAAAGCTCTGCCTCTTTAATATTAGTGTAGATTTTGAAAATTTCTGTCATTATCAATCTGAAGCTCTTAAATTGCAATTAACGACTTTAGGGGACAGCTTTTAACTAACTTTAAGAAATTGTCGCTGTGTAGTGACAGCGTAAGAGATTCCACCATCCCGTGGTATCGTAGAGCGACGAAAGAATTTGAAATAAGAGATGGGGCAGCAGTATTTTCCTGAAAATAACTAAAAATAATAAAACTTCTGCCACTGCCAACCTTTTTGCTCGGATTGGCAACTATGGCAAGTATTTTCCATATGTGGCAATATGTGATGATGATGATGATGTGATGTATATAAAGGGAACGTAGTAATTATATACTATTCGCAGGAAGAAGAATACGGCATTAACACAATGAAGTCTAAGAAAAGTGATATAAAAAAATTTATTTAATAAAATGTAAAAAAACATAGAAGTTATATAAGATACTATTGTTTTTTTTTTAAGAAAAACATCATTCGTAATAATGCGATGGTGACCAAAACCTATTAATCTTTATATTATATAGAAATTACGTGTCACATTGTTTGTTCGCGATGTACTCCTAAACTACTGAACTGATTTCAATGAAATTTTTCACACTGTGTGGTTCAACTTGAGAGATAGGATAGTTTTTATCCCGATAAGTGATTCTCAATATTATATATTTCCTCAATATTATTATTGTATATTTATAGGACATAGGGTCGTCGGAGAGGGCAGAACAACATCTTCCTGGCCAGCTAGTAGAAGTAAGGTACGTGAGGGTAATACGAGTATGGTCATCTTAAGCTTTGCCGCCCTGTAAAACCAAAACTAGTAGAATGACAGAGACAAAAACACATAGTCGTATACTGTAACTAATATATTAAGAAAATAATAGCGAACATGCTTTGGCAATAATTAGTAACACTTCAAAAAATCTACATAAAAAAACTCACTACACTACACCATACTAAAATCGACCACCAAATATTTACTATAATTTCAACCGTCAAAATGACGTCGATAAAGCATTGCCTTTTTGACCCTTTATTATTTGACTGAGCGATGAAGAGCTATCGTATCACAAAGTAGTTTGAGAGTTACAAGAAAGAGACCATATTAACCTCACCCTCACGTACTATATATCTTTTAAACATATACAACTGTATTCCGCTTTGGAGGATATAGAAAGCCAGTATAATTACAGGCTGCAAGGCATTCCATCTTATTCCTCAGGGGTGACAGCGCATCTGCAATCTTCTTGTTTTTTCTTTATAAGATAGCTTGACAAACGAGCACACAGTCCACCTGATGGTAAGTGGTTACTGTCGTCCATAGACATCTACATTTATCTACAAATACGAATAAAAATGCAGAAGCGTTGTCACCCGGGAGGACTGAGATGGAAAGCTTCGTTGGACATACTATTTTAGTGGTATCGAGAGCGTGGTCCTTCCCTGGTCAAGCGGAGCCATTCGTGCTACAACTATATTGCTAATATAGATGCAGCATGGCTCCACCACGTACAAGATGTTTAGAGCTGGCTGTAGGTTTCTATGAACTGCAGTATCCAATTTCCATCAGGTGGACTGTATATTCGTTTGTGACTTCAATTTTATAAAAAAAACTAACAATGTGCCCCCGCTTCGCACGGATGATTTCTGGATCGCAACAACAGCGCCACCTACCGGGTCCATTAGTGAATCTAAAATATCACACAAAAAGTTAATCAGAATCGGTCCAGTTGTTTAAGAGGAGTTCAGTGACAAACACACGTACAGAAGTATTATACATACATATATAAATAAAGTTGTCCCAAAACCCATATGTTATTTTTGCAGTACAAACCTCATGAATCTCTACGAGTACGCTCCATCTGAACGCTGTAGTCTAATGGACTCTACGAGTATGTCAGTCAAAACGGACCCGGCCAGCCAATGGGAAGTGATCACCAATTCCCCTCTGGTAGAGGGTGAGGATGAAAATAAAACCCTTAAATTACAATTCGATCTCAGTCAATTTGAACCTACAGAGGTTTGTAAAATATTTTCTTTAATAGAATAAGGGTGACAAACGAGCACAGAGTCTACCTGATTGTAAGTGGGTGCTGTGGCCCATAGACAACTACATCTTTTTTTTGATTAAGAATCAAAGTGCATATACGTTACTCAGTTACGAAGTTACGAAATATTTACCTGTTTACATACATACACACATATATATATATATATATATACACATACGCACATACGGACATCATCGTAGAAATAGCCTGAATAGCTTCCTAGGACCTCAAAAGATCGAGATCTGATGACAACTCGATTTTCAAAAACCGGGGTGAAAACAATAACTTCCCGATTTTTAGGAAATCATTGATTTTCATAGCGGAATGTTCTTGATATTTTATATCTAGGTTTCGTTATAAAATACTATCGTGCGCCCAACGAAGCGAGTGGTTATCAGATAGTATCAAATATTGGAACCTGAACAGACGAGCAGAATCAATCATAACGGTCATTCGGTTCATAATATTATTTTCGTTACACATTAGTTCTTTGACTTTGTTTCATCAATAAAGAAATTTAATTGCATCATAAATTTTTTTATATTATATGCAAATACGATTAAAAAGCAAGATTATATATTTTTTAATTTACTTATTTTAGGAAAACAGCTTTTATCATTCTTCCGTTTATAACTTTATAATGTAGAGATGTTAGAGAGTAATGAAGTCGCTTAGGAATTCTTCTTAATTATTAATCATTTAATTAATTACAGTTAATTAAATTAGGCCCGCTACTGGAAATAGACCTCCCCCATAGATCATCTCACAGGAAAGTTGGTAATTACGGTCCTTTATTAAATTGTTATCAAGTAGATCCTGATTCTTCATTTCCCTTTGTCGGCTCTCCATTGCCACTGCATGGTCATTAAGAATTCTTGTATAATTCTAGTGCATCATTTATACACCGACATAGCCTAACGGTTAGTAAGTTGAAGTGGTAATGGGCCGGCCATATAGCTCGAAGAACTGACAACCGATGGAGAAAAAAAGGTAAGTAGTCCACTAGATGAAGTGACGACCTGGTAAGACATGCAGGAAGTCGATGGGTGCAAGTGGCTGAGGACTGTGCTTTGTGGAATTCCATGGGGGAGACCTATGTTCAGCAGTGGACTTGTGATGGGCTGTAATGATGATGATGATGATGATTTGTATTGTGTAGTTTAGTAAAATAAAAAAAATAATTTCAACATTTTCCTTCAACAGGTAAAGGTTTCTATAATGAACGACATCCTCTTAGTGCAAGCATCACATGAAGAGAGAACACCTGACTGCACTATCTTTAGGGAATACGCCAGGGAGGTGCAACTTCCAAAGGGTCTTGATCCAGACGTCATAGCCTCATTTCTCTCAAGAGACGGAGTCTTGACAGTGCAAGCGCCTCTACAAATTCCAGTCAAAGTTCTTGAGGACCGAGCCTCAATTAAAAACAAGTATAACAATAACAGCCAGTCCAGTTTAGCTTAATGTATGGTTTTGTACAATTAATAAGAAGAAAATTAAAAATAATGCTTCCACCTGAACAAGCGTAAAGACATCCCATGACTATAATAAAGAAATTGTAAATTTTAATGTTGTATTTTTATTGAATACTTGCTGTTCTTTGCTTTTGTACGTGGTAGAGTCACGCTGCAGCTATGTTATAGTTGTAGCACGAATGGGTCGGCTCGTCCGAGGTGGGACCACGCTCTCACAGAATACCAGCGTGAAGTAGCCGCGTAATTCTGCTGTGTTTCGTATGGTGAGTGTAGAAAACCAAAGACCCTTTTTATTGGAAACAAGGCATTCCATCTTAGTCCTCACGGGTGATAACGCATCTGCCTTTTGATTCGTAATCGAGGATAGATGTAGATGTCTATGGACCACAGCATCCACTTACCATCAGGTGGACTGTGTGCACGTTTGTCACCCAATGCTATAAAAAAATGTTCCCCGAGACTTCATTCGCATTTATTACGATTGCATTTAAAGGGTTTTAGTTTTTTTTTACGCGGAACCCTAATTCTTAAATAAAAGTAGTGTACGCCCCGTAAAATCGTACCAGCCATTTTGGATATTAGCCGGAACAAACAGACAGTCACACAAAAATGTTAAAAATTATTCCTCGTTAGTAGTTATTTTGACATTACAAACATACACATCAATTTTATTTATTTGTATAGATTAAATTAAAACAAAAATATGTAAAACCAGAATAAAGTAGCTCAGAGACTCGCTTTAAATTTTCTTTCATTCATTCTTTTATTAGTTACAGTCTATCAAAAGCCCATAGCTTAACAAAGGCCTCTCCCATAAATTGCCTCATAAATACTATCCATATTTGCCATAGTTGCCGCGCTTGACCCTGTAGTGGAAGTGTAAGAATATCACGTATAAAACTTATGAAACAATTTTAATCTTAAATCTTAAAAAACGTTTTTACGTTAACAAGGATTTTCTCCTGTATCGTGGGGGCAGTTTAAAAACATAAATTGCACAAGGACAAACATCCAGACCCGGAACAATTATTTGTGGGCCATACAAATACTTGTTCCGTGTGGGATTCGAACCCGCGACCCCCAGCGCAGCCACTCATTACTAAGCCACTGCATCACGAAGTCGTCAAATTATTTAATTCTTTTACTGATAGGAAGCTACACTATTCCCTCGTTACATAATATACATTACAATCTATTGTGAAAGATTAAATAGCTATTACCCGGATTTTCATAGTGAGGTATATATAACTTGAGGGCGTGTAAAATTAACTACCTCGTACGAGAACAGAGAAGGACTTTTCCTCGCTTTAATGCTCTCTTTGAATTACGCATATGCCTGAATCCTAAAATAGGGCATTTATATAAGTTCTTGCTTTATTTTTAGCTGACTTCAAAAGGACGAGGATATCTATTGACTGTACGATTATATGTATGTTCCGTGGTTAATATTCTATGTAGGTAACCATTTTTCCTCAGGGGTGGCAATGCATCTGTTTTTGGTCTTAATAGAGTATATGGGGCGGTAATATTCATTTACAATCTGGTGAACAGTGTGTTCATTTGCTTATTTGTTACTCTTGCTTCTATAAAGAGAATAATGGGACACAAGCGTGTAGACTTCGTAAAAGTTAGTAAGTAATGTTAAGATCAGAACATAGTTTAAAATAAATCTACCCATGTTATTATGAAGTATACATTTTATATAAAATTTATTTGTATTTTATTTATATTTAACTTTAAATACAATAGCCTGGAGTCAAGCTACTTTACCTGTAAAATTTGGTGCTATTGGTGTAATATTTCTAACAATTGTATTGCTTACTTTCCTTGCATTCGTGCACAGTGTCAGTGACTTATCTAACATAATTTTATATCTATCTAACATAATAATAAAGTAGACCTGTGATTTGCTGCGGAAGTAAGGCATATATGGCAAACGCTCTGTCCAGGCGAAAGTGTTCCACTGGAAATTAACCAACAAAAACAGTGGGATATTCCATTGGTACGGAGCAGAAGGCCTCATTTACTAATTCCATAGAGACCAAGATCAGGCCTGCCTTCTAGCTGTTTCAACTGAGGAATCTATTCACTAGTTACACGCTTTACCATCAAGTAATCTCAGCACATCAACTTATGAGGAAAGCTTACGCATCATCGTAAAAATTCAACTGAGGGCGGCGATTTGTCAAACTCATAAGTGCCCCTGCGGTAGCAACGTCGGCGAATTTGGGCTCCATGGACCATCATGTAAGAAAAGTGCTGGTATGTTTTTCCATCACGGTTCTTTAAACGATGTCATCAGAAGAATCATATCTATAAATGTTTCCTCGGTTTGAGAGCCTTGTAGAATATTTAGAGTCGGGTCAAGAGAACCGATGGGAGAGAAAGTAAAGCCCTAGTTTGGGATGCTACTTGCGTCGGCACTTTGGCAGTCTCTCACCTCAGGGGTACCTCTTTTAGAGTCAGCAACTGAGACAGCTGAACTAAGTAAGTGGCGCAATTATCAGTCTCTCAAAGATGACTATATATTTGTGCCATTTGCTGTGGAGACTATCGATCCGTGGGGTCCACGTGCGGTATAGTTCCTAAAGGAACTGTATTCGCGACTGGTCGTCGCTGATGGTAATAAGAGAGCTGGTTCTTTCCTTGCTCAAAGGCTAAGTATAGCCATTCAGCGAGGAAACGCAGCCAGCATTCTTGGCACGATTCCACGATTAGGACTGTGTGATAATTTAAGTCTCTAGTTTTATATTTTCTTTATTATAGTTTTTTTTTAAATATTGCATATATTTCTTTTACATTTCAATTTTCTTTTAGAAAGAACATGAAATTAGTATTAATATCAACAGTACTAGGCAGAAGTTAGCGTAATTGCTTGTGTACGGCCTCTTCTGGGAAGCGAGCCGTCCGGTTGCCATGGCGACGCGCCGCATCAACACCACACAGACACACACGTGTGAAAATCCAGGTGACCTAAATGAGCTTGGTGTAGACTGAGATCACTGGTGTGAAAGCGCGCACTCGCCGGGTACACATGCAACCCGATTTGTAATAAAAATTCAACTCCTGATTTAAATACTCGCTTTGTGGGGGAACAAGGAATGCATGCATCCAATACTAAATATAGCAATAGTTTCCCAGGCCGGATCTAAGATCAGAGAGGTTTGGTATCTATTTATTTATTTATTTATTGTTATATGTATATACGGCTCCGTAGCGCAGTGACGTAGCCATGATTTACGGTGCTGAAGGCCGCGGGTTCGAATCCCGCACGACACATGTACCTAAAGGTAATTGTGCCAGGTCTGAATGTTGGCACTTGTGCAATTTATGTATGTAAACTGCGTCCACGATACAGAAGAAAATCCTGGTGAGGGGGTAACGTTTAAAAAAAAACTTAATACTTGTCTGCTTTCTTTCTCAGTCCACCAACGTAGCGTGGTACGCTATTGGCGTAGGAGTAAACATGTTATGAAAGATACTGTGATTTTTAAACCGTCTGCCAAGTTTGGCTTTTGTACCGACTCAATTTAGAAGGCTTTGGGATATTTTCACACATGAGAGTGGCGTAGGTCGAACAGTGGACTGCAACACATTTAACAACGAGCAAACAAACTTGCAGTCCACCTGATGGTACTCGTAAGTGGCTACTGCAATTCGTGGACTCTTGCAGCCAATTTCAAACATAAGAGGCTACAGATGCGTTGTCACCTCTGAGGACTAAGATGGAATGCCTCACATGATGTAATCAAACTGGCTCTCCATACATATCAGACAAGAACACAACAAGCACCGTTCTTTGGCGTCAGAAATAGACAAGAGGGTTTTGCCTACGCTGACGGATTTCCCTAGGAGAGTCTGCGGAAGTCATAGAATACTATAATACACAATAGAATGGCTGTCAACCTTATTTTGTAAGTGGGTCACCGGGAACACACATACAAGCAATTACGTCGTATTATCAGTTATCACTACTACAAACACATTTTAGACTTTTGATTAATGTTTTTGACACAAAAATGTTTCTTTATTTTGTTTCTAATATTCACAAAATATGAATAGTTTCGACTTGCTGGTTGTAGAATATGTCTCTTTTTAAATGCCATTTTCCGCTGTTCTTTCGACACGTAACAATGCCTTAATTGCCTTTTTAATGTTTTAAATAATTTGCATGCGGCGACGCTTGACACGAAAATTGGAAACAATTGATTGTGTTGACATTTATGCGTGTGAATTGACATATTAGTGGCTACACGGGCTCCGCCCACTCCCCCGTTCTATTATATATGTATTATAGTATTCTATGGCGGAAGTAGACGTTAGAAAAGAAAAGAGACCTGTGCAAAGCAATTTGTCGTATATAGGCTGTAACTTTAAATTAGTAAAAAAGTCAGAAGTGCTTAAACTCAGAGTAGGTAGGCTCAGATGCCTTCTTCTGTAAATATACAGACGATTGCGCCAACACTCGCTTGATGTGTCACAACCTTTACAATCATGGTGTCGATGTTTGCGTGCGCGGGTCACTCTTTATCTGGCGTGGCCACGTCACCCGATGTTATACACTGATAGGACAGTACGTAATGACATAGTCACCGGTCCTCGTGCGTCCGGACATAATAGGTCACGGGGGATGTTCATGCAAGCTAGGTTTTTAACGCTTTTTTAGCTGCTTTAACAAAACATAATTATTAAAATTTATGAAAGAGTATGTAATAAATATAGAATTATGATTTTTAACGTTATTATTATAATATTTGACATTCTCACTGCATCTTGTTTCATGAGCTAAATTAAAAGAAAAATAAGGTTAATGTTAAGAAAAGCCTTATCATTTAATAACATCAAAATCATCATCTTTAGAGCCTAAGTCCACTGCCGAAAAAAGGTCTAACCCCATAGACTCATATTTGTTAGCTACGCCTGTTTTTTTGCGGATATCCCCATATCGGATTTATCACGCAAAGAAACTCTGAGCATAGCTAAGTGGCT